TCAATTACTGTGGCTTTGATGATCTGTTTTGATGCTTCTGAGTGGAGCCACAGTTGCTAACTGTGCTACAGTCCCATTTACGCTCTGTGGGAGAGGATCTCCAAGCGTTTTACACCAGTGTCAGTTTTGCAAGTTTTGTCAGTTTTGCAAGTGTCATTCTCCTTTGTTTTGTGTAGGAGAATCATTAGATGCATTAGGCTGTGGATAGAAGAGAAGGCTGTTGGTGCTTGGCTAGGTATTGCCATTTTGACCTTGAGCAATTGCAGGCTTTTGTACTTACAGTAGAGTGTCCAAGTGATAGTCACAAGCTTAAACCGGCTTGTAGGTGGCCCGACATAAACTCAGTGAGGCGGATGAGAAACTTGAAATGAGTCAGCAATATTCATAAACTGTGTAAGTCCTGAATTGTACTCAGTCCAACTTTGAACAGAGTACTTTATGAGTTAGAAACATGCTGTTAACAGAGTTATCTGCGGTTCAGTTTTGAACTTCTGTTTTGCAATATAGCTTTATACCTAATAGAATGAAAGGTTAGAGGAAAGCTTTCTGTAGAGATGGGGAAAGGCTTTCAGTTGGCAACATCTTTAGAAAATGCTGGTGTAATTCAGAGGGAAATAAAATCTCAATTGTACCAAGTAATGGTTTTGGTTATTTAAAAAACAACATAGATCGTTCAACACTAGTTTTTCACGTTTATATTTACTGTAAGATATACTTCACTGATGAATTTGCCTTAGTATGGTTAGAAAAGAAATGCCTATTAATCCTAGCAGTGTTTCTTGACATCCGTGCTATGGATGCATTTCTGTCACAGGTTCCCAAGTACCCTGGAGTATGTTGTCAGTCAATGTCCAAGTCCAGTTTCTTCTATCCAAAGCAGCTCCAGCAGCTGCACAAACCATATGGCAGTCTGCATGTGGGTGCTCATCCCACTCGTCAACACGTCAGACAGCCTGGTGTCTAAAGACATTTGTGTTGGGTTCTGGGAGATTGGTTTAAGGTCTGGAGTGATGCGATGTCATCCAACATTGGTTTATCAGAGGTCTCCATTTGGATGCCAAGATACCAGTCCTGTTACAGCCCACGTTCTCTTCACTTATTGAATGAACAGCAAGACTGGGAAAACCCTGTGCAAGGTGCATGAATTTGAGGCAGCTATTTTGTGTGTGATGGGAGAGGAAGCCTTAAATGGGAGTGAAAGCATTGCACATGTTTGTGAGTGAATTTTCCACGGTAGTTGATTTTCTGTGGCCAAAATTCCTGCCTTCCATTGTACTGGTACTCTTATAGGGTAACAAGGAGTTGTTTTCACAAGACTTGCCTTCCTTTGTCCTGACTAATTGGTGGGAGAAGACACATCAGTGTTCAAGAGAGAAGTCTGTAGAAATCAACATGTCGAGGAGCTCATTCTCTGTTAAGCACTGAAAACTCCAATGAATCTCTAATGCTCACTGTATTTGCCTTTAGAAGTATGGAAAAAAAGCAGCAGCATTATTCCCTGGTAGGTGTGCAGTGATTAAGTCAGTAAATCATTAACTAGAAGATAATCAGAGATCAACATAACTCAGCAGATATATCCATCCCCTTCCTACAAAAGCATATTCAAATACAGCCTGGAGAAGGAGAATACAACGCTTTCACAGTCAGTACTCCGTCCACAGGAAAATGACGTTGCGGCTTTGCCATCCTCTTGCTGCCTGGATTTTTATCCTTTTCATTCCTGGCCTCTCTGAAGGAGGGAAACTCCTGGTGGTGCCCATGGTTGGAAGCCACTGGCTAAGCATGAAGGAAGTAGTTCAGAAGCTCGCCGAGAGGGGACATGAAGTGGTGGTGCTTAAACCAGAAGTAAGCTGGCATACGGGAGAGACACAAAAACACGCATACACTGTGAAAACATACCCAGTGTCTACCAAATTAGAAGATCTGGATAATGCTTTTCAGCTGTACTTTGCTACTCACCTGAAGAGTCTGCCTTTCCCACTGTATGCTTTTGAACTCTACAACATTTCAACATACCTTTTTGAATCCTTCTATCTTCAGTGCAGAGAATTGTTCAGCAGCACGGAAACACTGCAGTACTTGAATCAAAGTGGCTTTGATGCAGTCCTCACAGACCCTATTTTTATGTGTGGAGCAACAGTTGCTAATTACCTTTCACTTCCATTTGTGTTCTTCATGAGAGGATTACCTTGCAATCTACACTTTGAAGCAGAACAGAGCCCAAGCCCTCTGTCATATGTCCCCAGAACATTTTCGTTCAACTCAGACCACATGACATTTTTCCAGAGAGTGGAAAATACACTGATTTCTCTTCTGGAGCACTTTTACTGTTATGGTTACTATCGAGCTGCAATACAGCTTTCCTCTGAAGTTCTTCAAAGGGATGTAACTCCAATGGATCTCCTGAACTCTGCTTCTATTTCAATAATGAGGTTTGACTTTGTGTTTGAGTATCCCAGACCGGTGATGCCCAATATGGTCTTCGTTGGAGGTATGAACTGTGCTGAGAAGAAACCACTGCCTAAGGTTTGTTCATTTTCTCAAATTACACATTTTCCAAAGCAATAATTTCATGGTTAGTGGATGTTTAGTGCTCTTGATTTTGTTCTTTTTTTTTCCCTAATGATTTAATATGTAACTGAGCCTTGACATATTTTTTTCTGTGGTCTGAGATGCATGTGCGATATCCACAGTTAGATCCAGGTTGCTCAGAGCCCCAGCTTGACCTTGAAAGTTTCCAGGGATGGGGTTTCCACCAAATCTCTTGGCAATCTGTTCCAGAGCCTCACCACCCTTCACTGTAAACAACTAGTTCCTATTATCCAACCTAAACCTCCCCTCTGTCAGCTTGAAACCATTTCTCCTTGTCCTACTTTGAAAGACCCTGCAAAAGCGTCTGTCCCCTTCTTTCTTACAGCCCCGCTTTAGATACTGAAAGGTCTCTCTCACATCTCCCCAAAGCCTTCTCTTCAGCTCTCAGCCTGTCCTTGCTGGGAGATGTTCCATCCCTGGAATTATTTTTGTGGCCCTTCTCTGGACGCTCTACAACAGGTCTATGTCTCTCTTGAACTGAGGACTCCACATCTGGATGCAGTATTCCAGGTGAGACCTCACCAGTGCTGAGTAGAGGGACTGGATCACCTCCCTTGACCTGCAAATCTATGAATTCCCACATTTTCAGTGTGTGCTTCAGAAAACTGACTCCCACCTCTCAACACCCCATATTCATCCCTTTCTGGGAATTGGTTCTCTATAATGTAGTTGTTTACATTACTGCCTGTGTCTGGCAAGGAGCTCAGAGGCTTAGTTTGCTTGTTGAAGTTTTCTCTGTTTCTCTGTGTGTTATCAGCGGGACTAGTAAAAGATATCCAAGACTCCTTTGTTGTGTCCATGAAGGTATTTGCTAGCCTCCTTTCCATTCACTTGCCCTGAACCCATAATTTAATTGTTGCTATGTTTTTGTTTTTTTTTCTGTCTGGTAGCATGGCTTTTTTCTTCTCTTTCCTTCTCCTCCTCAGATTTGGAATTGCATGGTACTTTGTGGTGTTCATGATATATTCAAAAGGCACACAGTTTTGACTACTTGGAGGAGCTGTGAATTAAACATCAGCCTTCTACATACCGATTAGGTACTTTTCAGTTAGGCTAACCCATAAAACAAATGGAATTGGAATTTCCACTCTCTCTCATGAGCATATTTTAAAGGTTTCCTTTAGAAAGCACAAAGGCTTTTATAGTGGTAGATGCCTCCAGTGTTACTAAGAGATGATGCAGAATTATAAAATAGTATGAGTTGGAAGGGACCTTAAAGCCCATCCACTTTGAACCCCTGCTATGGGAAAGGACACCTCCCACAGACCAGGCTGCCCAAAGCCCCATCCAGCCTGGCCTTGGGCACTGCCACGGATAGGGTATCCACAGCTTCTCTGGGCAGCCTGTGCCAGGACCTCACCACTCTCATAGTAAAGAATTTGTTCCCTGTATCTAATCTAAATCAACTTTCATACAGTTTAAAACCGTTCCCCTCATCCCATATACTACAACCTCTGATAACAAGTCCCTCCCCAGCTTTCCTGTGGCCCCCTTTAAGCATGGAAAAGCCACAGTGAGGTCTTGGTGGATCCCTTTCTTCTCCAGGTTGAACAAGCCCAGCCCTCTCCAGCCTGTACTCATGTTTGGGATTGCCCCATGCCAGGTGCAGGACTTTGCACCTGGCCTTGTTGAATTTCATGGGCCCACCTCTCAAGCTTGTCCAGGTCCCTCTGGATGGCAAGCCCTTCCTTCCTACATGTCAGTCCCAATACAGACGCCTGAGGGCAGCACTTGTCACTGGTTTCCACCTGGACATCAAACCATTGAATGCAACTCTTTGAATGTAACTGTCCAGCCAATACCTTATCTGTTGAGTGGTTCACCCATCACATCCACATCTTTTCATTTTATAGACAAGACTGCTGTCCCAGGTCTTGTTAGTTATACAACGAAGGAGTATGCTGACCTACTTCTAAGGTTAATGATTAAATAAATTAAAAGTACAAAGGGGGACAGCTTATTTCAAGAACATTGTACTCCTTTCCCTGTTACATAAACAATTGTCATCAATTATTGAACAATAACCTCAAAATTTTGGTAAGTTAAATATTTCTGTAGTCAATAATTAATTTCCTGCGGATCAGCTAAAGCTTACACAGACCTTCATATAAAGGACTGTGTTGGGTGTCTCCAGAACAGAACTCTACAGCTTACTTTCAGTAAAATGGCTCTTCAATTTACATGTTTTTACCAACATACTGGGATATTTTTTCTTCTTCTATCGTCTTTAATCTTTGCGGAATGTGGGAAGATCCTGGTGATACCTCAGGATGGAAGTCATTGGCTCAGTATGCGACCAGTAGTAGGAAAACTCCAGCAAAATGGACATGATGTTGTTGTGGTTGTACCGTCATCAAGTTTGTTTATGAAGACAAAGGAGCATCAAAATTATACAGTGAAAGTATATCCAATACCTTATGCAGATGAGCAGTTACATCTTGTGCTCAGGTCATTTGTTAATGATCATTTTACTGAACAATCTACATTGAAAATAATTATTACAATGTATCGAAATATTATAGAAATTTTCAGGTTTTTTTTCACCACGTGTCGGAGCCTTTTGCGCAATGAAGAAATGATGCAGTATATGAAAAAGAGCAAATTTGACGTTGTTTTTACAGATCCAATTCTGATGTGTGGACCAATACTTGCTGATTATCTTTCAGTTCCTTCTGTCTACTTCTTGCGAGGATTTCCTTGCGGTATGGATTCAAAAGCTACCCAGTGTCCAAGCCCTCCTTCTTATGTTCCCAGGCTCTTCCTAAATAATTCAGATAGCATGACATTTGCTCAACGCGTGAAAAACATGCTGGTCAGTATACTGGAGCTTGTTTACTGTCAGCCTTTATTCACTCAGTTTGAAGAACTTGCGTATGAGATTTTGCAAAAGAAAGTTACAGCTACAGACCTTCTAAGCCGTGGATCTGTCTGGCTCATGAGATATGATTTTGCGTTTGAATTCCCAAGACCAACAATGCCAAACATGGTTTTTATTGGAGGGATAAACTGTGCTCAGAAGAACAAGCTGTCTCAGGTATAAAACTTTATTTTATTTTTATTGAAAACCAGAACAGAAATATGTAAGTATCTTACATTGAAACTTCACTAAAAACACCTTCATATTTAAAAATAGAAAGCTAATCAAAAATCCTGCAAGATTCATAAATGTTATTTGCTAGTATCCAGCATTCTTATTAAATCATATCCTGGCAATTCTAAAGTCTTACCAAGTAAGAAAATTTAAGTTACATGTAAACATTATGCAAATGATGAACTGTTTTTTTGAATTGAAGATTTTGGCAAGTGGCAGACATTTCTTCCCTAAAGAACTTGGTAGCTTCTATTTTATTTAAGTTTCTAATGCTACATCCACCTCCAGAAGAGCAGGCACCACAATCATATTGCTACTTAGCTCTGAAAGAGTAGCCTAAGGAACATACATAGATACTGTCTGGTCTTTATCTGCTCCACGGTGTTCAGGACTGTCCATCTGGACACATCAGGCACTTGCTGTCATGCCAGGAGCATTCAATCCATCTGCTTTGGTGGCTGTGGGAGCTATGGACTCTAGGTGTTGCTATCTGACTGTAGTGACTGTCATGAGAAGCTTGCAGGATAAAGGGCACCCAACTCTGTTGTTGAAGGCAGCCTTGGCATCAGTGTTGTTGAAGATTGGCATGGACATTTCTGTGCATGTACATCTATATATACCTATTCTCCTTTGTCATTCTTGAAGGTTATGGGACTAACATCTTAGCCATTTGTCAGTTGTTTTTCTGTTCATTCAGCCAGGTGGATTGAATTACCTCTTTCTCTTTATGTCAAGGTGTTAATATAAACTGAAAAAGAAATCAAATGCACATGAGCGTTAAAATTTGGAAAAAGTAGCAAATATATAAGCTGCAGACAAACCTAAACCCCAAAAGAAAGCCTTTCAAAAATATATCCTCTTGTTCTTTGTAAGTTATTTAATTAGATTCTAGAATGGATGTCTTCTATAAATTCCCATACAGGTTTTTGGGTGAGAGCCAGATCTCTGAATCAAGTTTGGGGGGGAAAAAAAAAAGCAAGAAAGGAGTATTCAAGAATTACATCTTCTAAGTGCACCTGTATCAGAACTGTGTAGAACAAAGCCCTAATATCTTCTCTTTTGTTTAGATAAGTATGTTTCATGCTTGTGTTGGAGGTGACTGAGACAATCTTCTTGTCACAAGAGTCTTTAGGGCCACAGAATGAACCAAACCACCTGGTTCTCTCTATCTGGTTAGATAAGTCTGAATAAAAGAATAGCCATTGCTTGTACAGTCTTTCAAAAGGACTTGTAAATTATGAGTAGGAAAGATCACTGATCTGATATTAAAGACTCAAGCAGATGCCTGTGAAAGACCCACAGAGGAAGCACGTGGCTATCTGTCTTCATATGTCAGAGCCTAGCTTGATTTCATCTTCAAGTGTTCATCAGCCTTTGCTATGGTTATGAGTAACAGGTCTGTCTGTGTATCGCCTTTTCCTGAGCTGTTTGAAAATTCACATTAATCTACTACCTTTGTCATAAACTATGGATATGTGGATAGTGCAGATGATAGAGCTAACTGTTCTTTTTGAAGGTAGGTTCTCAATGAGGTTAAAGCTTTCTCACAAGCCTTGGAAATAAGTAGGCAGAAAATGCAGGGGAAAGAAGGCCCCACCAGTGTTGTAGTGCCTTGGATGCCTGAAGTAACAAATTGTGTGCTGAATGCAGGATTTTTCATTGTAGATAACACCTTCCTGGTCATCTACTTATATATATGAAGTTTTACTGCAGCAGGTAATCACCAACAATGACTTAGCAGTTTAGATCCAGGAAGGATCAACTCCACAGAGTTCATGGTCTGTGTCAGCCCTGAACTGAACTCACACAGACCTTGGACTCACAAGTTCATGAGCTAGAAACACATTGGCTTATGTTATCTGAGGGTCAGTATTTCTGTTTTGCAATAGTTTTATACTTGATAGGATAAGAGGTTAGATGGAAGTTTTATGTTTAAATGGGGAGAGATTTTCAGTTGGCTACTTATCTTCAAAAATGCAATTTTGATTCAATGAAAAAAAAAACTTCACAGTTTTTCACAATTTTACCGACTAGACCAGGTACTTCAACACTGATTTTTCATATTTATTTCAATTATACCTCACTGCACAATTTGCCTATGTTTTATTAGGAAAAAAATACTTAATAAAAAATACCGATTTATTACACTATAACAACTCTGACAGAATTCAGTGAGATGACACTGTCCAACTCTGTAAGGCTAAGAGGAATTCTGGTGTGCTCTTTACAAACCAAGTAGCACCGTATCATGTAATCCAAACAGTGTTTCTGGACAACCATTCTGTGGATGCATTTCTGCTACGGGTTGCCAAGTACTCTGGAGTATGATGTCAGTCAATGTCCAAGTCCAGTTTCTTCTATCCCAAGGAGCTCCAGCAGCTGCACAAACCACATGGCAGTCTGCATGTGGGTGCTCATTTCACCATATGTGAGATTGCTTGCCCTCTAAATACATTTATGTTGGGTTCTAGGGGATTGGTTTAAGGTCTGGAGTGATGTGATGTGCATCATTTTATCAGAGGTCTCCATTTGGATGCCAAGATACCAGTCCTGTTACAGCCCACGTTCTCTTCACTTATTGAATGAACAGCAAGACTGGGAAAACCCTGTGAAAGGTGCATGAATTTGATGCAGCTATTTTGTGTGTGATGGGAGAGGAAGATGGGAGTAAAGATATCACACAAGCTTGTGAGAGAATTTTCCACTCCGTGACAGATTTTCTGTGCACAAGCTTTCTGTTTTCCCTTTCACTGGTGTTGCTGTAAGATGGCTAGGATGGCCCAGTCCTATTTCATAAGTGTGCTGGAAATAGCCAACACCCTTTGCTCATGCTGATATAAACTATGAACTGATTTTAGGTAGTATACAAGTTCAGTTCAATCACATGAATGAGTAAAACCTAGGCATGGTTATTTATAACTTATTTGCCAATATGAAGGTTGCAATTTGCAGACCCACATTTAAATGGAAAGTGTTCTCTTACAAATGAGCGCAGTCAGAAACGTGCATTTACCTTGGCATCACCAATATTCACCATCTGTAAGTTAGAGATACTATGGCGTGTTCACTAGCTCACTTAACAGCTACCCACAGCACCTCATCCTTAAACCATCCCTGAGAAAGGAGCAAACAGATTAGATAGGTGCCCAGATATCACCATCTGATCTGGTCACTAGGCAGGGAATGGGTCTCCATCTCCTTTCTACATCAGAGCTACAGTAATTCTGCATTGAATAAATGTTGCTATATGAGAACAGCAAGAGATTGCAGAGATTTGTCTTTTTAGAGATCATTTCAAGTGTATGGACGCTACAGGAAAATAATCAGCTTTAGGAGGTGTAGTTCTAGCTAAAATCCAAACTTTTCCAGGCGAAGTGCAAGAGACAGGCAAGAGTTAATCCCAGCTCCTTGCGTGACTTGTGTTCACATACACAAAGTTATCAATGCCTGGCGGTGTGAAACAGTAACTGAGCCCAAGGATAAATCCCTGCCCTTAGTGCTTTCAATGAACATTTGCCCAATGACTCAGCTTATCTCAGAACTGTAGTTGTTTGCATAGTTACATCAATCAGCCAACGCTGAACAGAGCCAACTCACTCAGCAGCTAGCAGTCCTCTATCTCCCAGTGTAATCAGAGGCAAGAAAGGTGAATAGGAGAGATGGGGGCTGCTGCAGTTTGGATAAGACAAAGTGGGGTCTGCATTGATGCTAAGAAGGTCATCAGTCTGTGGTACTAGTGTGGAAAGGAGAAGGGTGAGGCATTGAATTGTAGTCACAGTATGGGAGAGCCAAGTTTATGACAGCAGACACACCTTTCTCATGCTTGTACAAACCTGCTTTTGAAGTCCAAAACCCATTTCAACATTTTATAATCATTAATCTCCTAACTTGAATCCAGTTGCGTGCAAACTGCTAAACATGTGAAAGGGCAAAAGTATAATTGCCAAGCGGTATATTTGTGTAGTTGGATTGAAGCCTCAAAAGCTTTCAAACCACCCCAGCTCACTATTGCATGGATTTCTTTCCACCTTGCAACATGCTGATGGCAATGCTTCTCCCCTTCTTGTGCTGCTTGAGTATTGCTGCTGCTGGGAAGCTGCTGGTGATCCCAATGGACGGCAGTCACTGGCTCAGTATGAAGGAAGTGCTGGCTGAGCTGAGCAGTAAAGGGCATGAAATAGTTGTTGTAGCACCAGACAGCAATATCCTCATAGATTCTTCAGGGAACTTCACGATGAAAACGTATCCTGTACCATACAAGCATGAAGAGATGGAAGAGCTTTTGTATAATTTTGGTATGGGCAGTTTCAGTGAACAGCCTTTTCTTACCAGATTTTTGGATACTTGGGAAAATTTTAGAAAGTTTTCTGCTATGTTTCAAGCGGCCTGCAGTTCCTTACTGCACAAAAAAGAGCTGATGAAATTTATGGAAGAAAGCAAATTTGATGCAGTCTTTACAGATCCTCTGACACCCTGTGGACAAATAGTTGCTCTGCATTTGTCTATTCCTACCGTTTTCTTCTTGCGGGGTATTCCATGTTCTATAGACATGTATGCTTCTCAGAGCCCAAGCCCACCGTCCTATGTCCCACGATTGTTTTCATTCAGTACAGATCGTATGACATTTCCTCAGAGAGTGAAGAACTTACTGATAAGCATTTCTGAGTATTTTACCTGCAGTATCATCTTTTCACCATTTGAAAGGCTGGCCTCAGACTTTCTCCAAAAGCCTATGACATTGACACAGCTTTTAAGTCATGGATCTATTTGGCTGAAGAGAACTGACTTTGTCTTTGACTATCCCACACCTGTGATGCCCAGTATGGTTTTCATTGGAGGCATAAACTGTGGAAGGAAGAAGCTATTACCTCAGGTTAGTGAGTTCTGGCAGTCATACGCTTGAACGGTCTGCGTGAGATCTAATGGCATTTGATATAGACATACTTACCTAAAGGTGTAATTTAGAGTAACTGTTTCTGTATAGTGAATGCATGTGAAAAACAGTGGTGTCATTGACCAGCAGAAGAAGACATGATTCCATCTTCTTTTTTTGGACCTGCCCAACACAGGGATTTTGTTCTCTAAGGAAATCACATGGTACTCTGTATTTAATTCCAGCTGGTTTGGTACACAAACTTCACCTGGTCCAGGAATTAATGCATAAAAGTGCAGGTGGATTTAATAGTTCTTCCAAAAATTCTTTGCCCCATGAGACAGTAGTGTATTTATTCAAGAGCACTGGCTGCTTATCCAGTAAGAAAAGTAACTCACTGGGTTAAGTGCAATAGCATTATTTGCTCTTTTCTGTAACAGCAGTGTTGTGTTTGGTTTGAGTTGAAAGGCTAATACTTTATTATGGGGAAAGTTACAGTCTAGCAACAGTTTCCATCACAAAAACTAGGCAGCTGCATACTCAGATGTCTTTTTATAAGACATCCAGTTCAGACAGAAAATGTTTTCCTGTAAATATTGTGGGATCTTTAATGCTGATTACTTCTTTCATGTGTGTGATGTATGTTGACTTTCTGGTGTTCACAATGTACTACATTAGCTTCATGCTGTACTCCATTAGCTTGTAGCTGCATGTGATGTGTCTCAGCTTCTTGCTTGCTTGGGGTAGGTACAACAGTCTCATGTTGTGAAGGCAGACATTAAGTAGAAAAGAATAGATAGGAGGAGATAGCACTCCTCAGCAGCTGATGAATCTCTAGTTAGTGTCCAGCAGTTTCAGCAGCAAATCACATTGTTTCTTGCAAGAGATAAAAGTTTTGTCCTTTGCAAATGCCCCTACAAAGAAACAGGTGTTTCTCTGTTCTTCCTTTGAATGTTTTTCACTTCTCTGTGTCATACATAGTGTATGTATTCCTCTTGCCTGTCACCTCTTCTATTCTTCCTGTAAATCCATATGCCTTTGTGAATATGAATTAATGATGCCTTATAGTAAAATAGATTTGCATTTTACAAGCTTGCACACCTTCCCCAGATCCAGCCTTACCTGCCCTCAGGCTGTGCTTAACTCCTCCCATTACTTCATCTGATGCTGCCCATTGTAAGTACTGTTTACTTCATTTGAGCATTTATTGCTCAGGTCTTGCTTACTCACAGAAATGTCTTTCAGACTGCAATAAACCCTCTCCATGACCACTTCTATTGGGGTAGTACTTTTTTTTCTCTGTTCTGTTCATCTGACCTGTTTAAAGGCTGCTTCAGAGGCAAACCCAGATAGACACTCTGGGAAAGCAACCAGTTTGCCTGCATGCAGTTCCACTTTAAATTTCGACTCTCCTCTAAAACCAGAGCTCACTTTCACCCTTATCTTGCAAGGGCTAAAAAGTTCAGGGTCCAGCATAGTTTTATTACTGTTTCTTTAATGGCATTCCAGCCCTTTATTTGTTATTTTCTAGATGTAGCTAGGCATCACAGTTATATCTAAAAGAAAAATTTAGTCCTGAAGGTTAGCACATGTCTAACAAAAATGCTTGCTAACTCCTCAGACATGGTATTCTTAGTTTTTCAGACATGGTTTTAGTTTTTCCTCTGAAATAAGAACGACACCACTTGCCATTTAAAATCAGTTCTTGTTCTGAAAGCATTATTGATTACCTCTGCCCAGGCTTTAACTAACTGGGTACCAAGGGATCTGAGTGGATTTACTTTCTTGTAACTCCTGTCAATTGGCAGTTAACATTCTGGTTGCTCTTTCTGTTTAGTCTTATACTTCAACAGCATGGTTTCCTTATTTTCTTATGCATGTACACAGTATTTTTCAGTTAATGATTTGTTACACAGCATTATTAGTGCATTACTTGCTGAAAAATATGTTATTCCCTTCAGTCCCACTGTTCATTCAGTACAAATGGGCGGGCATTATCCAGTTTAGCTATGGTTCAGATGACTGTTAGAGAGATTGGCTGAACTTTAACACCTTCAATTTGTCCATATCAGTGATTATACATTCACCACAAAGCAAATAAGTCTAAAGATCATCACAAAAAACACAGCACAGTTAGCTTAAAAGCTCAGAGGTGCCTGTGTTCATTAGAACAGCTCTCCCCACATTTCAGCAGGAATGGCCCTGGTACTTCCTTCTCATGCACAAGTCTCAGTGTCGCTGCTTCTGCTGCTGTCCGTGCTCGGCTTGGCTGCAGGTGGGAAGCTGCTGGTGGTGCCAGTAGGTGGGAGCCATTGGCTCAGCATGCAGGAAGTGTTAGTTGGACTCAAGCAGAAAGGACATGAAATAGTCGTCGTTTCACCTGAATTCAATTTACATGTAAAGCCATCAGACAATTTTACAATGAAGCTGTATCAAGTCCCCATATCAGAGGAAGAGATAAACGGAGATTTCCAGGCATTTTTAAAGGAGGCATTTGAAGAAGGATCATTCCTGGAAAGATTTCATAGAGTACGAGAAAGAGTGAAAAAACTCTTTGATTTAGGCTTCATAGCCTGTGAACACTTACTGAAAAACAAAGAACTTATCAGATATCTCGAGGAGAGTAACTTTGATGCCCTCTTTACAGACCCTGTACTGCCCTGTGGAGCGATAGTGGCTGAGCATCTTTCCATCCCTTCTGTGTATTTACTGAGGGGAATACCATGTGGATTACATATTGAGGCCACTCAGTGTCCCAGTCCCCCTTCTTATATTCCCAGGCTATTTACAGACCATACAGATCACATGAACTTTCTCCAGCGTGTGAAGAATGTCATCTTTGACACCTCCAATCTTTTTCTTTGTGACTTTTTTAAACCATATGAAAAACTGGCTTCTGAGTTCCTTCAGAGAGATGTGACTGTACTAGATCTCTTACGCAAGGCTTCCATATGGCTTCTGAGATATGACTTTGTGTTAGATTATCCAGCACCATTGATGCCCAACATAATTGTAGTTGGAGGAGTAAACTGTGCTCACAAGCAGCTACCTCAGGTGGGTTGTGCTGTTTTTAATTCTTGTTCTGGTAGACTTCTGTGCTCCTAAAAATGTGGTTTTGTATCTCAAATAGATATTTAGTTCTCAGAAGGAGTGAGCTGTGCAACTCTTAGTGAAAACAATGGTATTTCTGTCATTTCTTTCTCACTTTCTGTTTTTTTTTTCTGTATGTACAACTTCATCTTTTCATTTACAAAGTATGGTGAATTGAGAGGCAGTAAGTGGCTTCTGACTTGTTTTCTTTTCTTGTACAAGAAGGCGTTCTTCCACTTGGCTGAGGATAGGTAAGAATGTATGAGAAGTATAGGGATGTGTCCCTTGTGTGTACGCCAATGGAGTGGTGCCCTGCACTGAAAGCTTCGTCTGGCATTAGAAAAAAAAGGTATCTTAGGTTAATTGTCAGTGAAAGAGTGGTCAGGTTCTGGAATGGGCTGCTCAGTGAGGTGGTGGAGTCACTGACACTGGGAATGTTCAAGAAACATTTACATGTTGTATAGAGGGGCATGGTTTAGTGAGAACTGTTGATGAGAGGCAGGCAGTTGGCTGGATGATCTCGACGGTCTTTTTCAATATTGGTGATTATATTATTCTATGTTTCTATCATTCAGTTTAACTGTGAAATGAACAGTGGATTTGTTACACATAACTTTTTCGCAATGTGTTATTGAAATACATTATCTATGGTGCTGAGTAACTTACTTACTAACAATGGGACTTCCTTGCTCTCATAAGGATCTCATAGTGAGCTATGGAAGGGTACTGAAAAGTCTGAGGGACTGTCACAGCCTCAGTCAAATAAAATCTTTCAACTTGACAACTGCTGGGAGTAGTGTCTGTTATTTATAGAGAAATGCACATCAGGCTTCTGTCCAGAGGCACCCTTGCTGCCTTACCACTTCTTCCTTTGTCCGTGAAATTGCCCGCTATATGCGAAGGTATTTCCAAAGCCAGAATGAACAGGAATGTCACAGATGATGGACACTCAAGGTATGAAAAAGAGTCTGTGTTTACAGACAGACCTCAGACAATCTTTCCTTGGAGATGACCTTGTGATATCTGAGATGCCATCAATGTTGTGAGCCTGAAGGAGATGTGGTGGCGTGGTGGATCCTGATGAATTGCGTTAGAACTGTCACAGGGTTTTTCACCTAGAATTTATTCCAGGGCTGCTCTCAGTGGAAGAAAAATTCTTTGCTTTTCTAGTGAAGATCTGTAGTGAGACTTTGTACGCACTATCGAAAGGGATTACCAGGTTCTGTGGAAAGTAGGACAAGGTGCTCTATTACCTGAGTTCTTTACTCAGAGGGTGGCCAGCTGTTCTGAGGCACAGGAAGTACCTAATTATGTGGATAACGTGTCCTGCAGTCAAACTGCTGTCATTTTAAACAGCATCTTGAACAGCTATTTCACATCAGATGCTGGCCCGTAGGCCTTCTAGAAATGAATGAGGGAGAAGCCATGCTCAGAGGAAAGAGAGCAGCTGCTGCAAGGTACAGTGATGATGTGGACTTGACAGATCTCCAGTGGATGCAAAAGTTTCATCCTGAGGGAGACTATTAGAAGCACAGAGCCACATACAGCCACTCCTACCTCCTTCCAGGGTCACACACCACTCTTCCTCTAAAAGGAAGAGATGGGGCATAGCTGATGGGTGCAGCGGCACCACCCACCCATGGACTTGGATAAACTCCAGTGCTTGTTATCCAGCCTTTTATCAAACTGATTAGACATTTACCACATAGCAGTTACGTTACTGAAGGATCAAAAGTTATGGCATGGAGCAGATAGCTTAAAGAGCACAGGGCTGTTGCTATTGCTTCAGAGCTGCCCGGAGTTTTCTTCCTGTGCAGTACTCCCACAGGAGTGCAGGAGTACAGCAGGAATGGCCCTGGTACTTCCTTCTCATCCTCAAGTCTCAGCGTCGCTGCTTCTCCTGCTGTCCGTGCTCGGCTTGGCTGCAGGTGGGAAGCTGCTGGTGGTGTTTGTAGATGGGAGCCATTGGCTTAGCATGCAGGAAGTGGTAGAAGGTCTGAGGCAGAAAGGACATGAAATAGTCATCGTTGCTCCTGAAATCAATTTACAAATAAAACCATCAGGGAATTTTATTATGAAAACCTACCCAGCCCCTTTCACACAGGAAGAGATAGATGGATATTTCCAGGCATTTTTTAAGGAGGCATTTGTAGTAGGATCATTCCTGGAAAGATTTCATAGAGTACGAGAAAGATTGAAAGAACTCTTTGATTTAGGCTGCAGAGCTTGTGAACACTTACTGAAAAACAAAGAACTTATCAGATATCTTGAGGAGAGTAACTTTGATGCTCTTTTTACGGACCCTATATTATCTTGCGGAGCTATACTAGCTGAGCATCTTTCCATCCCTTCTGTGTATTTCATGAGGTTAATACCATGTGGATTAGATTTTGAGGCCACTCAGTGTCCCAATCCCCCTTCTTAGATTCCCAGACTATTTACAGACCATACAGATCACATGAACTTCCTCCAGCGTGTGAAGAATGTCATCTTTGA